TTTTATAAAACTAATATATATCTCAGTTTATTTTGATACAACTCCAAAAGATTTATTCCAAAGCTAATCCAAGACCAAAAAGATTATATTCCAAAATTGTAGACTTGCAGGCAAAGAATACATTTCAACAAAGGGTATTTTAGTACCAGCTGCTGAAATGAAGTCTGGATACAAGGAAACTTGTAGGCTAAAGTGCTTTACAGTTGCTGATGAGGAAAGACTCAAAATTTTCAAAGCTTATTATAAGTTACGTGTCTATGCTCGTCAGCAAGATTTTATCAATGTAAACACAGACAAGATTCCTAAGAAAACGAAAACAGTAGTAGAACAATCGAGAAAGAATTTTTCAATATCTTATTTTCTAGCGCTTGAAGGTGGCAAACGAAAAGTTTGCAAGCACATGTTTTTAAATACACTCGGTATTAAAAAAGGTGTGGTGGATTCACAGGCCCAGTTAATTTACCTTTGGTTACATTTAACTACTGGATATTTTCCATGGTTACTGTAACTTCACTTGCCATGATTGGCTATTTGACCAGTAACTATGGTAAATATCCGATAGTTAAATTTAACCAAAGGTGAATAAACTGGGTCTAAATGTAGCATTTTGCGATGGAAAAGGAAAGGCTAAAAGCAAAACATTAGATCCTTTTATAGTGGCAAGTATAAAGACACATATTAAGAGCTTTCCTTGTATTCCGTCGCATTATGTTCGGTCACAACAAGTAAATACTTGGATTCAAATCTAAATTTAGCCACTATGTATAGAATGTATGAAGAATGGTGTAAGGAACATAATAGGCCACAAGCAAAATTAGCTGCATACCGCAACGTTTTTAATAACACCTTTAATTTGGGATTTCATAAACCGAAAAAAGACCAATGCCGTGTATGCGTGGCTTTCAAAAATGATTATAATCCAACAGATGAAACGAAGAAGGAATACGAAACTCATCAGAATTCTAAGTAAGAGGCGAGAGAGGCTAAGAAGCAGGACAAGGAAGATGCTATTGCACGTGAAAATATTTTAAGCTACAACTTTGATGTGCAACAAGTTTTGCTTTGCCCGAGTGATCCAACCAATAACGCTTTATTTTATAAACGACGCGATGTTTAGCTACCTACAACTTCACAATTTATAATGTAAAAACCACCAAAGGAGAGATGTACGTGGCATGAAGGACAAGGCGAAGAGGCAGTTGTGAAGTAGCTAGGCTGCTTTTTAAATACTTTCAATCTCTTCCTGAATCAATAGAAAAGATCAGATGTTTCAGTGACCGTTGCGATGGACAAAATTTAAATAAGTACGTGCATGTATGTTGTACAGAAAGTAAAACATTTAAAAAGCATTGATGATTTTAACGTCTGGCCACAGTGAAATCCTATGTGATTCTGCAATTGGGACGGAATTCAAACATGTTGGAAAAGTATTATGGCCAGGAGACTGGAAGACTATAGCACGTGGTGCTTAAAAAAGACAGGACACAAACCATACAACGTGCATGATGTTGTAAGCAAAGACTTTTTTGACTGGAAAGATGTAGCCGATAATCACATGACAATAAGGAAAATGGGCACTGAAAACAAACCGGTACTATTCCAGAAAATTGTTTGGTTTCACTTTACAAAGGAAATTCAATTTGAATTTGAATTTAAGGAATCATTTACAGAAGAGCAGTTTAGAAGAGTAGACTGTAAAAAGAAAGTCTTGCGTAGATAAACCATAGATTTGCAGCAGTGACAAGGACTTAATGTCACTGTTTACTACCAAACTTCCTGCTCTGAATCAAGACTACCACGACTTTTATTCTAATTTACCGCACGGAAGTACAGATAATGATGATGGTTAAGTGTTTTTCAGATTTATTAATGTTGTATTTGAGATAGTAGCATCCAAGAATTTNTATAACAAAAATAGAGACTGAAAGAAAAATGCATTTGTCTCAAGCAGATAAAATTAGAAATGAGTATATATATTATGCTTGTACATTTGACTTGCAGAAGGCTCTAGCATTTCCAAAACTAACCACGTCCGTCGCTTATTATAAACGAAATTTGTACATGTATAACTGCGGTGTTCATCCAATTAATTCCGGACCACCTGAAATGTTTGTATGGAATGAAACAGAGGGAGGCAGGGGTTCACAAGAAATATCTACAGTGCTTTACAAGCATTTAAAAAATAACGCTAAAAATTGTACAGAAATAACTTTATACTGTGACACTTGCGGAGGGCAAAATCGAAATATTAATTTATCAGTGCAATTACTGAAGCTGTGCAATGAAGCGTCTACTGCAGCCAAGACAATTAATGTGATATTCATGATATCTGGGCATTCCTATCTGCCAAATGACGCGGATTTTGGTGTCATAGAAAAAAATAGTAAACACTCACTGCTTTATGGCCCAGATGACTGGATTAAAATAATTAAAAGCTCAAGAAAGAAAACGCCATATAAGGTCACTGAGCTTAAATTCAATGATTTTTTGTCAACCAAAGATTTATTAGAGCACATTACTAATAGAAAAATAAATACCAACAAAGAACCTGTAAATTGGTTGAAGATTCAACGACTTCAGTTCAAAAGAGGACACCCATTTTCAATATTTTATAAGGACACAGCTGATAACTTACTTCCATTCAAAGAAATTAACATAAAAAGAAACAACAAAAATGGTAGAAATCTTTCTTCGTTGGCATCAATAGATCAAAAACCGCTCTACAACGCTAGGCGCCGTATAACTGATATTAAGAAAAAAGATATGATTTCATTACTTCCTTTCATACCTCCAATCTACCACAACTTTTATAAGTCATTACCTGTTCAAACGAATACTAGATCGAGTGAAATTCCAGAGGAGTGTAATGACACCGAACAATATGACGTTATTTATGAATGATTGTGCACATACGTTATGAATAAAATTGTTGTTTTTTCTAGTATTTTAATTTCTTTTGTGAGGTTAACTCTTATAAACTGTACTACTTTTCTTACATTTTCCTTAAGAAAAATGTTTCTATAAAAGAAATTGTTATTACTTTTTCACACCGTATTAATAGTTGGACTTGATCGAATTGCGGTAAAAAAAAATCAGAGTAAAAGTAAACTAAGTCCACATTTCTTTCTTTTAACCGGTTGTATAGCTAAAATAATGAAGTTTCTTTTAAATAACACCTAAGTAACAATAGTGTAGATACTTATTTATAAAAAATATGAACTTTAAAAATTTCGTTGCCTATTACAAAAAATTAGTAAATGGATCGAAATCAAACGGTCTGTTTTCTCGAAACGAACTTAACTGGACTTGGTTCACTTTACTTCTGACCCACTCATATCTCCCAATGATTTTGTAATAATCCGTTGCGATGATCATTATTACCCAGGTAATTTAGTAAATGTAATAATAATAATAAATGGTCAACTAATAACTAGGAAATCTCATTTTTAGGAAAAGTGGTTGAAAAGAATGAAAGAAAAAATGAATATAAAGTGTCTACTATGGCACGAAGCGGAATAAAAGACTGGAAATGGCATAACTACAAAGATATTATGTGGTATCCCAAAAATGACATACTTGAAATAATAAATGAACCTTGTCAGAAAACCGCGCGAGGGTTTTTTTCTGTACCAGAGATGGAAAAATATTTTCCTGAAATGTATTAACTTTTAACTTTTAGAATAAATAAATAAACTATTTTTCAAAAAAAAAGCAAAGTTTGTCAACTATTGGTACTTGAGGTATGTCAACTACTGGATTTTGGGGAAAAATTGCATGTCAACTAAAGGTACATTGTCACAGCTGTCTTTAAAATATTCTAAAAAAAAAAATTGTGCACCTAAATACCGCAAAAAACATTTTACCCTTAATCTAAAACGTTATTCATTTCACTTTATCAGTTCTAAAATATGCCTAACTCTAAAACTTGATTTGTAACAATTTTTTTAATAATTCTTTTTCTTATATTGTCAACTACTGGTACACTCACCTTATACCTAGTTGTTACATTAACGTGACGATATTTCCTATAGGAGGACATAGCTTCATGCTTCATGCCACCTAATCATGTATTTAGACGCTTTGAAAAAATGATAAAGAGACGAGAACAAATCAAAAAAAAAAAATTCTTGCACACAATTCAACAGTCCTGCAAAACGGCAAGGACTGGAATATAAACAATTATAAAACGGCAATGAATACTTTCTTTAAACGAAAATCACCATTCAAAATAACAGAACAGCGAGTCTATCTATTACAGTCTAATCTATTACAAAGCTAAAAAAACAGTACATATGAAAAACACTTATACTGGTTAAGCATCTGTTCTTCGATAGTGTTTAGAAAAGTAATAATACGAATCTCACAAATGCGTTAAATAATGTAAAACCATCACCGCCCATTAATAAAATTAGTGTGCAAAAATAAAGTAATGTTCAACATCTTTTGAAATATATTAAGTTAACTGATGAAGGAAAGATATTCTACCACAATGCTCTAAAAAATGTTGGGGCGAAGGATACAGATGATCTAATAGAAGACTATTTATGTCCAAGGACTTAGTTCAGTTTTGGGTTAACATTTGTGAATTGAATACCTATTGTTTGATTTGTTTGTAAGAAAAATGTGACTCCTTGACTACAAAATATAGTGTCATTTATACATTAACACATTTCTACTGAATATGTTCTATACAACTTTTTACAGAAATTCAAGAATAGCTACGAATAATTATTTTGGACTTAGTTAGTTTTGGAAAAGTGCTCTTCAAATATACACACATGTATTATCAATGAAGCCATAATCTTTGGCTTAATTTACCAAATAAATTTAAGTTTTTAAGAAAAATTAGCTCATTGGATGATGTAGAAGCACTTAATAAATTAATCTTAATTATTTCTTACTTTTCCTAAAAAATTATTGAAAATTGGTGTTATTTATGTACCCAATATCATAAACTGCATTTAAACAAAGCAAATTAGGTTAAATTAAAATCATGTTACCTGAAAATATCTCCAGTTGTGGTAACAATAAAATAAACCAATTGGTTTTCTGTCAAAGTGTGAAGATAACAATCCAAAAAGATGATTTGTTTTTCAGGATTATCCAAAAGCTTGCTATAAAATAAAGAAACTGTTCATTATATCTCATTTCATAAAACAACTAACCTCTCAATTAAAAGGGTTTTCTCCTCGACATTTAATAATTTAAATGATCCATCTCTAAGCCCAATAAAAGCGTACTTTGCGTTTTTTGTAATACATAACACATCACAGATTTCTTCAAGAATAATGCTTAAATCAACATTGGAACAATGCAAATCAGAAAACACCCCTAGAGATGAATCTATAGCATAAAACAACTTGTTTGCTTTGATATGATGGATTATTCGTGGGTTATAGTTCTTGTCGCATGTCTAAATCAGTTTAATGAATTAACATATAAGAAAAGTACAGCTCTTTAAAAGAAACATTCTTACTCCGTCACTTTTTATAGTTGCTAAAGTACAAGATTCGTAAAGATTAGTTTCACCTCCAAATTCACGAGCACCAAAATTTAAAGTTTGATCTTCGGTATTAAAACCGTGTTCAATTATGTTCCAATTTACCATTTCTAAGAAAAATCTATAAAAAATTAACTTGGTTTATTAAGAAAGATTTAAAAACGATTCTACTTACAGCGTCCTTGCGTTCTAAAACTGTTGCGTTTAAATATCTGTCAAATGTTTAACTTGCATCTAACTTCATGCATAAATATACACCAAAATTTGTAATGATTTAACAATTTCTAAATTTATATATATATTTAAAATTTTATGTTATTTAATACAACTTAGTAATGAATCACTTAATATATAAAAAGAATTTGTTGAAAAAGAATAGGACTAACTTCACTCACAATTAGATAAAATCATTTCGCTATATTTTAAAAAATTTAAATATTGATTTTAAAGTGTTTTAAATTTTGATATATAAGCTTTATGACATTAACATACACTTAAATCATTTAAATTAACTAATTATTGATTTTTATTTACTTTAAGATATTAATATTTTTTCATGCGGTTGGTACTACTGGAAAATGACATATGGAAGTGACAACACCAACAAAAACGTCAAGTACGTGTTAAAAAGTGTCTTAGGCGTGATATGTTGCATTTTTAATGAATACAGTTAGAAGCAGTCTAAATTAACATGTTCTCGTCGTTGAAGAATAAAATTCGCGAGGAAACAGGTAGTGATTTGTCAAAATTCACGTCGAAAATCACCTCTACGACTCAACAAAAATTGGAATCGTTACGCGGCCGTTCTAGGCAAGGTTCGTCGTCGAGTATAAATTCGATTGTTTCACAAGAAGGATTAAAAGATGATGGTTCTTTAAGCGATATACAAAACGAGGAGATGAGAATACGTTTGGTGCGAATAGAGGCAGAGTTTGCTCGGAAACTAGATGAAAAAGACAAGAGAATTTTGTGTTTGGAAACTGAGAAAGACGAGGCTTATCGACAGTTACAAAATTATAAGGAATTATTAAAAAATGCTGAAGATGCTAAATTAAAACTGGTAACTCATCAAGAAGATAAAGAACAAATAGAAAACCTTCAAACACAAGAACTTTCAAAAGTGAAGCATTTAGTTTTGCAACGTGATAAAGAGCTTGAAGAAAAATCGATAGCTTTAAAAGAGGCAAATCAACAATTGGAAAAATTAAGAAGTGAACTTCATAGACTTAGGCGGCAGGAAGAACTTTTAAGTGATGTTCAGGTAAGTTTATGATAATGGGCCTTATTTAGTACATACGGACGTATTTTTAGTTTTGTGATTGTCTAAAGTCACTTTATTTGCTTCTTTATTCACCAAATGACCAAATATTTAACCTAAAGTTTAATTTGAATTATTTTTATTCTGTTTTGTGATTTATTTTGTGTATCTATTTTAATAAATACATATTTAGTTTTTAAACTGAGATAGGTTGTAGTAAAACTAATTTTCAGTCTAAAATAAATCACTTTTTTTCATCCAGCTTTCAGTTTTGAGATATTTGTGCCTGTTACATTTACTTTTCTATTTTGGAAAAGTTCAAGTTGACAATTATAAAGTGTTGCTGGTATGTTTTAATTGTTAATATTGTTAACAAAAAGTTAATTGTAACATGGAATGCTATAATTACAATATTTATTACTCATTAAATTAAATAATGTAGGATTTTTCAGAGTTTATCTATAATTATACATGGAAATGGTAAAAATAGGGATTTGATCATATCCCTAAGGTGGTATATGATCAATTCATGGATGATGTTAAAATAAATAAATCTGTTGGGTAATTTCCCTGGAAAAAGAAAGTGATTTGATCAAATTCCTTAACTGTTTTAGTGAAAAGAAAGTATTTATTTAGTAAACCATGCATTATTAAATATAGAATAGTTAATACAACAATAATGATTGAAACACAAGTTATTTATTCTAATTTAATAAAAAGAACAAAGTTGACCTATTTTTCGGAAAAATTAAATGTGACAAACAATACAAAATTATTTGGGTTAATAAAAAATAAAAATACACATGTTTCAGTTCATATGACACATACTGTATAAGATACAATACAATAGCAGATAAAAGTAACAAATCACAAATATACATACATTTATGTATATATGTATAATATATAACATATGCAAATACATAACAGCAGGGTTCTACTGATTTAAATAAATGCTTTAAATCAAATGATTTATTTATTTTAATCAATGATTTAAATCAAAAATAAAACTGAAAATAAACCTGCACTTTATTACAAAATTGTTTATTATTAAATTGTTAATTTAATACAAAAATTAACATTCATTATAATATTTATATAAGAAAACAAGTTTTCCTGCCTTTTCAACACCTAACTTGTTTCGTAAAGTAGAGTGGAATTTTCAACAGAAGCTGATGATCAAACTGCACATAAAAATTGCTTTAATATTGGCAGTAGCTTTTCTACTTCAGCAATGTGTATTTGTGACACCCACCATTGGAAAGCACCGAGGGGTAAACCGTTGAACAAAATTAGTACACTAATTCCCAGATTTGTTATTAATTCCTCTAATTCTTCACTAATTCCCTTAATTCCTTACTATTTCCCCTAATTTTATTAATTTCCACGCTAATTCCCTACTAATTCCTCTAATTTTACCAATTCCCACTCTAATTACCTAGCAATTCACCAAATCTATCAAGTGAACTACGCCACAAAATGGTGTAAAATAAATCAAGCATATGTGTTTGTAGTATACGTATTAAAATAAAAAAAGTTGGTAAAAAAGCTAGAAAAAATAAACAGTTTATTTTTACATAAAGATACAGGTTATAGTACAGGTTATTTATAATAAAACTAAACATAATTTTTCTAGTGTATAATATTATTGAACAAAAATAAAAATTACTGTTTTTTAAACGCTTTATATCTGCCCTTAATGTTAAGTTGGTCTGCCCGTTTTATTTGAAATGGGCCGCCACCAATTAAATTAATAGGACCGTAAAAAATAAAATCTTTATGAACGGTATCAATGTCTTTTTTTCGGGGCCAAATAAATGTGTCAAGCTCTGCTTTCAGAAACTTTATTTTATAATGTGCGTTTCCTCTATCTTCAATTATCCGACCTATAAACCACGATTGGTCATAGAAAATCGCGTAATAGTTTTCTAAGAGTATCTCAAGTCCGGCAGTTTCCGATAAATTTTCTGATCTACACGGTAACATCTCATCTGATAACTCCTCCATATCATCGAAGTCGTCGAGTTCCATCACGTCTGAGTCAATGGATGAGTCACTGCTTGTGCCACTATCCTGATCCATGGGTAGCTTCTGTTTAGTCAAGGTCGGCAGGGAATTTTTGAAAGGTGTTTTTCTCGGTATTTTTCTTGTACTGCCTATAAATCTTTTTAATCGGTCAGTACTTAGTCTACCGTTAGACTGATCTAAAAACCAGCAGTACGATGACTTTTTAATAATTGAAGAATTTTTACCGACAATGAGTTTTACATATGGTGATTTTTCCGATACATTATGCACTTTTTCGGAAAAGTCTTTTAAACTTATAGAATTCGTTCCCAAACTATCACATTCGCGATCTTCATTAGAACTCTCGTTAGAAATTAAGTCCATAACCTCGTCCATAACTATATCGTCATCATTACTGATATTATTCGTTTTTGCCACATCTTGGTCAATTTCATTTTCTTCGGGGTTTTTGTCAGCTTCAACGTCGTCTTCGTCAATGTCTTCATTCTCCTGTGTTACTTCGTTGTTTTGTTTGTGTCTTATTAACGGTACTTGCATATATTTCCAATCATTTTCTTGTGGATTGATTCCAAATTGTTTCATGTCCTCTATGACATTTTGTAAAGCTTCTTCAACTGTAGCTTTGATATCCAAATTGAGAATTTCTTTTTCACGTGGTAAATTTTCTTTCTTCAGGCTGTTTTGTAATCTTTTGTCTTCCGTTGGAAATGTAAAAGTTCCCCTAAGATCGTTTATTGTATCAATTGTTGTCTTAATTCTCTCAACTCGGTTTAGCATATCCTTTATACTAAAATTTATTATTGTTGAATACGTGGAGGTCATGGACCTGGCAGCCCGAAATAAGGAACCTTTACGATCAATTCCCTGAGATGACTAGAGGTGGCAGTGTATTTCCCAATTGGCAAATTTATTCCTGATTTTAGGAAACGAGTACGCATTTTTGCTAAAATATGGGTGATGTCCTGTACATAACATTCATCATTTTTTTCGAAGTTGCAGTGGTACCACTCCCAATCTGGAACTGGCAAAGAATGGAGTAGCTCAGAATCTTTTGGGGTTGTTTTGTTATTTTTTTTATATTCAGGTGCTAAACGAGACTTCAAAGTATTTAAACGCATAGCTCTTAAAAGCCGAGTATCGCCATCTGAGGAAAATCCCATAATTCTGATGCCAAATTTTTTAGCTTCCTCCTTCATCCATCCAGGTTTAAGTATTTTGGGAAGTTTGTATATCGCGTTGCAAAAGCAGGTTACTTTGGAGAAGATACTGTCATGTTGGTCCAACGAAGTTACAACTTTAATATCATCAAATTTATGCTGAAGCTTTTCCCATAAATTAGTTTCTGCTTTCGATTTTGCCCACGCCTTCAAATTTCGAAAAATTAAAGCATTTTCATCTGTTAAGTTCACGGCTCGGTTTACGACAGGTCTCTGATTAATAATCCCCCTGGGATTATCCTCGGGATTGTCTAATTCCTCAGGAGATTCTTCATTTAAAAATTCTGAATTTTCAACAGAAGTTTTAGCCCTCTTCTTAGGAGCCCCTTCTTGATTACTAGACACAGATCTCGGCACAGATGCTTGAATTTCTTTTTTGTGTGATTTTCTTTTCTTTTTGAAATATTCGACCATCCAAAGTAGGACCTGTTTGTTGTTGCAAACAGGGAAATAACTACACCCATGCGTTTGTAGAACCAAAATCAAAGAGGGCGATCACGCGTTAGCAGTTTTATGCGACACGACGCCATTTTGTGCAATCTACTTCGCTTCCAGATTCTTCCAATTTTTTTCTAATTCCACACTAATTCCCCACTAATTCCCTACTAATTCCATTATTCTCTTATTAATTCCCCGAATTTCCAGAGTAATTCCCCAAATTCCCCACTAATTCCTCTAATTCCTCTAATTCCTTACTGATTCCTGAAGATTGTACACCAAAATTCCCCTGCGAAATACCCCTCGGAAAGCACTTACATTACTTAAGACTTCCTCTGAAAACATTACTGATGAAAATGGTTCAATTTTTGCTTGGTTTTATAGTTAGTGGTAGTAAACCGGTTTTTTCCACGGATGTTAACTTATAGTTAACATGTACCTACGAAGTTTTAGTAACGTCTAAAATATAGGCTATGTAATGGTTAGATAATTATAATTAGAATCCATTTTACCAGTTGTTTAATTTGTGAAAAGGTAATTAAATTTAATTCTCTCAGTATTGTACTTTTGAAACTGGTCTAAAATATAGGCTATGTAATGGTTAGATAATTATAATTAGAATCCATTTTACCAGTTGTTTAATTTGTGAAAAGGTAATTAAATTTAATTTTCTCAGTATTGTACTTTTGAAACTGGTTTTATTAATTAATTAATTAAGTCTTACTAGTTTTGGCCCATGGCCATCCTCAGAGACTAATTTTACAAGAGTTCACAAAAAGATCATATCGCAAAGTATTAAGTTCATAAATGTAATTATTCAAATAAAATTCTTTTAAGTTTAAGACGAAATAACAACACGTTAAAATTGAAGAACGTTCCGTCTTAAACTTAAAAGAATTTTATTTGAATAATTACATTTATGAACTTAAGATTAAGAAAAATTGGCTAAGGGCCGGTTTATCAATGTCAAGTTAAATCTGTTAGATACGCAACTCATGGATAAACTTGCCTGACAGATAACCTCAGTGAACCGTTTATCCAGCAACTTTCTACCCGACAGGCAGCAACCTACAAGATAGAACATAGATGGTACCCCTGAGTGTTAACATTAGAAACGGAAATGAAACGTAATTGGTGAAATTTGAATAATTGTCTTTAGTTTGTGAAGTTGATATAAACAGCAAAACACCTGATCGTGTTTTGGAGGTTATCATTCCCGTGTGCTTTCGGTATTGTGCTTTGTTTTCGAAAACCTCTTTTATAATGGATTCCTACATGAATATTTATTAGACAGCGATAAAGATGAGGATATTGTCCAAC